AGCTTGTAAGAGGAAAACAGAACTGGAAATAATCTAAATGTCTAGCAACAGACTGGAGAACAAGTATGATATAAATGAAATTCCATACTGTAGTGAAAATAAATGAAGTAGATCTACACATTACCAAATGAATGAACCTCACTAGCAAAAAAAAATACTAACCCAAGAATATATACAATATCTGTAAAATGTTTAAAACATCCAAAACAATACTATACACACATACTCTTGAAGGTTACACTTACAGGTGTGCAAGTATAAAGACCTACAGGGGAATGCACCCAGTCCAGAAAGGTGGTTACTGACGGAGGGAGGAGGGTCTTATTTCTCAACCAGGGTGTGGTGTACATGGGTGCTCATTATAACTACTCTTCCACTTTTCTGGATTCTGGAATGTTTCACAATCTAAAAAAGAGCAAGGAGCAAAACAATCCATGTACTGCACCACCATTTTTGTTAAGAAGAAAAAGAAGGGGGAAACCACACACACAGCCACTTGCATAGAGCTCTGGATGGCTTCTAAAGGAGCTGGTAGCAGCCTGTCTCTGGGAACGGCCTGGGGGACAGCGGTGGGAGGGAGACATACTTCTTACTCTACCTGCGATTACACTGATTGAACCTGCTCACCATGTGCAGCTGTTATCTACACACCTCCAGTGAGAGGGCTTGAACAGACTTAACCCGGGTAGCCCAGTTAGGGAATCTCAGTACTAAGGTTACCAGGAACCAGCCCCAATCTGCTGGGCTGCTCTGATAAAGACTGATCTCGTATAAACGAAGTTCGGTTGCCTGGAGGGTAGACTCCCATCTCCCTCCTAACTGCTAACTACCTACCCTGGTTTGTTTTCCTGACCCAGTAATCATATCCAGTATACATATTTATACGTCAATTTAATTTTGTTTTGTCAAACTTACAACATTCTTTGAAATGAAAGAAGCCAGGGGGATATAGTAAAATCAAGGGCAGAGAAGGGTTGCTTGTGCTGGTGGGACAAGGACGTTGACAAACGTATACTGTTTTTACTCGTGGTATAGCAGCCAACCTTACAGTACTTACTACTTAAGGCCTGTCATAAGGTCATTTATTAAAGCCTCACAGCAACCCAACTAGATAGGAACAAATATTAACCCCATTTTACAGATGAGGAAACACAGTGTAAGTAACTTGCCCAAGATCACACAGCCGCCGTCAGCCACGTGATAAACTTCTATTCCACAGTATCATCTGTCTCATCATAAAGAGTTACAAGCTCCCTAAGAAAACATGGAATTTGGATAGATTATTTTTCAGCACACAGACCATTACCCAAGGCCATAATTCAGGTTATTTTCTGGAACATCATGGAACAAAAAGAAAAGCAATTAGTACTTTTGCCAACAGCCAAATTCTTCATCCCAATCACTACATTTATCATCACTCTTTTAAAGTAATTTTTTAAAAAAACAAAACACAGGCAGGGCAATGTCATCAGCATTCTCTTCCGGTGATTGAAAGAAAATCCAGATCTTCCTTCCTGGTGGCAGAACCAAACAGGAGCCAGAGAGCAAGGCTGACAGCCTGGCCTCCAGTAACCTAGAATGCCCATGCCACAAGACTGCCTCCAAAAGCCACGGCACACACTTGCCCAAGTGTCTTGGTCTTAGCCTTGAAAGCTTCTTGCGCCTTATTGGGTGCTTCCTCCAGCTAGCAACACCCTGCCTGTCCTTCTTCCCCACTGAGCCAAGCCCCAGCCTGCCCATTCCACACAGTTGCACATACCAAGAAAATGGAGAAGCAAATTCTCCTTCCCCTGATCTAGAAAAATCCAGACCACTCAATCCAGTATACTTCAAGGGTCATAGGAGGTATTAGATACAATTTGTCAAATCCAATTAAAGCACTTACCAAAGCCTTCATGGGTTAATACAAATAAACCCTTCATGAATTATATTAATATTTTCAGAGTAAAACTGATTATTGATTGAAAATTGACAAACAGGAGATTTATCCAAAATTCCTGGCAGGTAAAAACTGGAGTTCTGTTGATATTCAGCAGGCTACACCATAAATTCATGTCTTGCATCATAATAAAAATAGGAAGCTATCAAATGAATATGTATTTACACATAACACAATCTAGAATCCCTAGAAGCCTACATGCCTCAGTGTTGGGCAAACACCACTCAGCTGGTTAGCCACTACCCAAGTGACAGTGATGAGGGCACCTAAGCTTCCGTGAGCAGGCACCACACACCTCAGGCACCAGGACACATGCTTTACACACAGCACCTCATTTACACCGGACCCTGCCTTTTCCACTAGAGGAATCACCCAGCAGTATGTCCTACCGTATGATTCCATTTATAAAAAGGTGAAAAACAGCAGTTACATTTTTATATCGATGGTATTAGAAACTAACATAGTGGTTTCCTTTGGGGCCAGTGAGACAGAGTAGTCAATACAGAGGCACAGGGGCTTCTGGATGCTGCTAATGCTCTCCTCCTTGACCCTGGAGGCTGCTTACCGGGGGTCTGTTCACTCTGTGGTAATTTATTAAGTTGTACACTTAAAATGTGCATGTCTTCTATATGCAAATTACAACCCAGTAAGCTTGTAAAAAGTTAAGAGGTACATGTTGAAGCAAGGATATGGAAAGAGCAAGCACTGTCAGGAGTGCTGGGTTCTGATCCTGGCTTCCCCCGGAAATGGCCTATGACTAGGGAGAGTCACCTCTGGGGGCCTCCACGTCTTCATTCCTCACAAAGAGGTCAGATTAGATGCTCTCCAACTCTCTCGGTATACCATCACTTCCCTTTATCGGGTGGGGAAAAGTGGGGAACGACTGGATGAGCACAAAAACAACTCAAAAGGAAATATCTCTACCACCAGGACATCATTAAAACACAAAACATAAAGCCTCTCCAGATTCGGGATGACACCGTACTACAGTAGTGCCATGCTGGAAAAGCAAGTCATAAGCGCCTCTCAGGCAACAGGCGATGGCTGCAGTCACTATGCACCCTCATTAACAAACTCAACTGTAAATATTATTAGAAATTCATGACCCGGCCCCCCCCGTGGCGTAGTGGTTAAGTGCGCACGCTCCAATGCTGGTGGCCCAGGGTTGGGATCCTGGGTGCGCACCAATGCACCACCTGTCAGGCCATGCTGTGGCAGTGTCCCATATAAAGTGGAGGGAGATGGGCACAGATGTTAGCCCAGGGCCAGTCTTCCTCAGCAAAAAAGAGGAGGATTGGCACAGATGTTAGCCCAGGGCTGACCTTCCTCACAAAAAAAAAAAAAAAAAAAAAAAAATCACGACTTTGGGATAATCCTCAAGGCCGGGTAGCAAGGTTAGAGCAAGGCCATTATAACATACCCCTATTTACCCAAGTGTTAGGGAAGAGGGTCTCTTGGTTAACTAAATATTCTGGTTAACCATGCTCCCATATATACTAGAAGAGGATTTTACACTTCCAAAATAATTAAGTCCCTTTTGGGTGATGTGAGTGATTCAGAACTCCTCAGGGTCTCGTGAGAGTGACTCACTGCCAATATGAACAACCGTTTGATGCTGAACAAAAAACTGTTCTCCATCACTATAGAAAATTTAGAGACTAGCATTAGTTTATCATGCAGAGCATGGAATAACAAGCAGTATCAAGCCCACTGAGAAATTAATTTTCTTCACTGACTACAAAACCAAAAATCTTTCTTTATAAGCAGCCCACCTTTCACAGACTACAAGTAAACAAGTTTAAGAGCTTGGTTTAAGGTTAAGACACATTCTTGGGAGGCACAGAGAGCTAACATCTTAAATCTGTTTCATCTATACATATCTTCTTCTTTTTTTGGTTTTCCATCAACTGTCATTCATTTTGTTACTGTTTATTAAAATGTGGATGGCTGCATGAGAACTAGAATGGAAGCCAGCCCCTAAACTACATACAGTTAACTAGAAATAGAAATTGAGGTTGGCCCTAAAGATGAGGTTTATTTCCCTTCACTGGGCTCTGTTATCTGGAAACACCCAGACTTGGGATCCTCTCCATATAAATATTAAAATCTGGCTCCACGATTATCAAACTATAGAATCTTGATAAGTACTCAAGCTGACTCCCTTCCCTTTACCGTGATGATTTCAATAAGGTTACGATGTGAAGGCGAGAGTTGGGGGGGGGGACGTCACGTGGCATGGGGAGGGCAAGAGGGCCCCTTCTAATTCCAGGAAGGCAAGCAGCTGGTTCCCAAGCGCTGCTATCATAACCTGCAGTGATTTTAATAACCAGCAGTACTATTTCAGGGCAATAAACAGGTGTAAGAATTCTCCTGTGCACAACAACTTCTCACGTACTTACATTTTCCCAAAACAAAGGCCACTGCTAAAACCGGCCAAAGGCTGTGCAAGACATTTTAAAGCAGGTGAAATGAGGGCTCCACTGCAGAATCATTGGGACCGCAATACCCCCATATCACCTTCAAGACATAGGATCAAGAGTAAACATATATGCAAAGACAAACATCAACACAGTCGACATGCTTATGTGCTTCATGCAACTTCAATACTCTTAACAACTGGGGCAACTGAGGCTAAGGACCAAAGTGTCTCCAGCTGGATGGGGCTCAAGTCCATTGCGATCACGTGCGCCCAGCACAAGCACGACACAGGTGCAGGAGAGGTCACCCTACAGGCCACCCCCATAGCTGGAAGGGCAGCCTGAGGGAAGGCCACGGGTGCCGCGCCGGCACCAACTCGAACCCTGAGGGAGATACCCACCTCCTGCCTGGCCCCCAACCCAGGCCCTAAGCGGGGCTTCTCCGCGGCCAGTCTCCCAGCCGCCTCCCGCCGCCCCTCCGCCGCCCAGGAGGTACCGGCGCCGCGCAGGCGCCTGCGCAGTGCGCGCCTCTCGCCAACCCCCAACGGAGCGGAGGGGCGAGGCCCGGTACAGCCCGCTCGGGGACGGGTGGGCCCCGTTCTGCCGGGGTCCCCTTCCCCAGGCTGGGGGGTCTCAGGGCTTACCCGCGCCCAGGAGGCTAGACAGAAGGAAGAGAGCGTACATGGCTCCGTCTGACTCCGCAGTCTGCAATGCAGGGCGTCAGCTGATCCTCCGCGGATATAAACCTGCCCCGCCCCGAAGCCCGCCACCGCGCAGGCGCAGGCTCCGCCCGGAGAGCCCGGGCTCCCCCCGCAGCCTGACTCAGCGCCGCACAGCGCGCCTGCGCGAAGGGAAGGGGCCAAGCCGAGTTGAAGGACGGCAGGAGGATTGAAGGAGGCTGGGTGGAGGATGAGAGGGGCAAGAACGTGTGGTGGAAGGGAAGCCTCAGAAAAGAAAACTACTAATTGAATAAGTCAACGTTAGGGATTATACAGCTAAAATATCTTTTAAGCCTCACATTTTTTCTCTGAGGGACTATTTTCTATTAGTATCATTTTTCAGATGAGAATCCACACTCAAAAAAGGTTAACGACCCTTTAAGTTCTCCCAGTCAGAATTCAAACTCACGCCCGACCCACACTGTCTCCTAAATGATGTTTATAGCATTTACCTGGCTGGGGCCACCGTGTTCTTCATTCTGGGCCTGATTTTCCCTCAACATTTCAAATCCACAATCACGGCTCCCCATGACCCACAGACAGATTTTGCAGCATTAAATACAATCCCTCCCAAGGTCCTACCATGGTTTGTCCGTGGAGTTGGAGGGAGTGGAGGACAGGGATTGAGGAGGTAAGATGGGAGAAGTGTCTCAGCCCTTGGAGAAGGGAACGGGCAGTGAACCCGGAATTTGAGAACCTCGCTAAAAACCTGCCAGGGCGTTGTTGGAGAAGGAAGCGGCCCCACGCTTCAGCCCTCAATCCTCCTCTTATTCTGGAATAAGAAAGGCCCGGGTGGCCCACACAAAACCACTTGACCTTTACCTGTGGCTGACCTTGTCTGGTTCTGAGCAGAGAGATGACCCCACCCCTGCCCTGCCAAGGGACAAGTACCTACCAGCCCAAGGGAAAGAAGGGAGGGAAATGTCAGCATATTAGGGCAGGCCCTTAAAGGTCATGTAGTCCCATTCCATCATTGGACCAAAGGGGAAACAGGCCTGGAGAAGGAAAGACATTTATCCAAGGTCACACCTGACCAGTGAGGGGCAAACTCAGGGTTCCATCCACCTCCGACAATCCGTAATCCTCTCTTAGGAACAGCCCTCAGATAGAGGTCTCAGAGCCTTTGGCTCCCCTCCTCCACCCCCACCCCCACACTGTGGCTCTTACTTCCCACTGGGGAGCTGGATGGGGAAGTGTGCACCACAGTGGGTGACATAGAAGGGCTGAGTAGAACTGGGACAAGATTTGGTCTACAGTGGATGTCTCACTGGTTGGCCTCAGTGGCCAGATGGAGACTGCATGGCTGCCCCTTCTGCAGGCTTCCTAAGTTCAGACACAAGCATGGGCAGACCATCCCAACAGCCAGATAAACCAGGGAGGTGGGGCTCCAGGACACAGCCCCATGCCTCAGCTCAAAGCATGCAGTGTTCCATGCAGAAGTTACAAGACTTGGAGCCAAAAGGAAGCTTAGAGACCTTCAGATCATATGCTCTCATGCTGATGGAGTTGCTGAGCTCTCAGAGCTACTGAATGACATAGACGGAACAACCACGACTCTTTTGTAATACCCTCCTCCCTCATAACTAGGAGAATGTCAGTGTTTTTGAGACCAACTTTTGCTGCCTTTCATTTGCACACCTGGAACACAACAGTAACATGTTCCTTCATCCACCTCCTTCCCTGTAAGGACAGAATTTTAATAAAGAATATAAAAACAATAAGTGGATTATTTTAATTTGTTACCAAGCCAGTAGATGCTTAAACCTTCTTAAAATACCTTCCTAACCATCTGTGCCTAGGCAACAAGAGCTGTGAAGCTATTCACAGCTTTTGTGAAGCTTTTGACCCTATAATACGTGGTCCTAGCTATAGACTCCCCAGGGAAATAATCTAGAGCTAAGAAGTATTTTATCGAGCAGAAGGGCCCTTTATAATAATGGAAACTGGAAAGATCCCAAATGCTGAACAATGATGGGCTAACTAAGGAAACCAGCCTGGACAAAACAGTGGTACTCAAAGCAGCTTTGAAGCATGAGGTGGAAGCAGCAAGCGCTGGTGTGCAACAGGCCTGCGAGGGAAGTGGGTTCCAAGAAATAAGGGCGGGGCAAGGCCTAAAGCCCCATCTTCTAGTTCAAGCCCAGCCACTGACTTCCCAGAGGGGACCGTGGAGCTGGTGAGGGAGCTCCAGTCCCAGCATGCACTGGGGCAGCCGCAGCACTCCAGCCCTGTCCCTTTCAGACAGGGCGGGATTCTTAGTGAGAAGAGAAACAGAGAATTGAGGTGAGCAGAGAGTCTGCTGACTTTGGGTTAACTCAACTTTGCATTATTTCACTCATTACAATGTGCACATGTTACTTTATTCTTTTTAAAGAAAAAATTATAGGAAAATTTTAAAAAGAAAAGAAAATCCCCTTCATTTCCTCCATAATGTGAGCTCAAGTTTTCAGGGAACTGAAAAGATATTTTTGATCAGAAATGTGGACCACACTGGAGATCCCAGCAGGGTTCATGGTGGCTTTCCAGTTCTGGGTTCCAGTTCCTCATGAGACCCCACTTCTAGTGACTGAGATCTCCTGAAACCCCCACCTGTTGGGTTCTTTTAATAAATCCCCTTTTGGTCCAAGAGGGCTTCCTTCCATCTGTTACTGTTTCTACAACTGCAAGAATCCTCGGCCAGGACAGCTGATATAACTGAGGCATCCACCGTGAAGGCCTAGCCCACCCCCTTGGCCCCAAAGCTCCACTCTGGCCCCCCAAACAGCCACCCTGGAACCTCATCCTGTCCTGGAATGCTATCTTCCCAATCCCACGCACCTACCCCCAATGAAGCTCAGGCTCCGCTCCCTCCAGCATCTCCCTCATCAGGACCTCCAGCCTTCAGTCTCTCCTGCCTGCATTTGCCTTTCTGCCTAGTCTGGATGTCTCAGGCAACCACTCCAGTAAATCTCAGCCCCTCCCAAGGACCCCTCTCCCCATCAAACTGCAGTCACCCACCCGCCAATTCCCAGCCTCTGATTTCTTCTCTTCTATCCCCACCTGCCCTGGGCTGCTGGAGAAATTAACCATCCCAGCTAGGCTCACAAAGCCCTCTGTGCTACTCAGCACGTATTTAGCCCTCCCATGTGGTCGAGTCGGCTATTGTCTTCTAATATCCTTCACCTCTTTTTCCTCAATCTTGATAGTTAGTAATCAAACCACCTATTTCTGGCTGAGTACATGGCCACTCAGAATAGACTACATTTCCCAACCTCCCTTGCAGCCACAGGACTTCATTCTGGCCAATGAGATAAAAGAACAAGTGCCCATTTTGTGACTTCAAGATACTGTTCTTAAAAGGAAGAGACACATCCAGTGCAAACATGTGTGTGTGTGTGTGTGTGTGTGTGTGTGTGTGGAAGATCAGCCCTGAGCTAACATCCATTGCCAATCCTCCTCTTTTTGCTGAGGAAGACTGGCCCTGGGCTAACATCCGTGCCCATTTTCTTCCACTTTATATGGGAGGCCACCACAGCATGGCTTGACAAGCGGTGCCTTGGTCCACGCCCAGGATCTGAATCTGCAAACCCCGGGCCACCAAAGCAGAGCATGCAAACTTAACCGCTATGCCATTGGGCCGACCCATATTTTTAACGACTGATACTTCCAGGACATGGGCCATAGTGCTGGGGGAATGTCCTGGAAGGTCCCCACTGAGCCAGGTTGTTGTCTTAGAGGGGTGGGTGGTCCCAGGGATGAGTAAGTGACACTGGCTCAACACAAGGTTGACATAAGGGAAGCTATATTGTAGAAAAGAAACCATATTGTAACTTTGACCTGATTAACCCAACTGGATATGCACCCTCCAGGAGATATGCATGCTCTGTGGATTTTATGGCCCTTCTCCGCTGTGATAAGTTAAGAACTTTGTTCTTTTGAATTCCTTAGGAATGTGATGACCCCTAGGCAGACAGTCTATGCCGCTAGCCATCATCAATGACAACTGAAAGATCATGGTATAGGGCATTGCTCCAGTCTCTGATGCTTATCCAGTAAAACAAAAGATTATCAGAAACTAAGACCAGATGTCTGCTCCCACCTGGAGATCAGATTGATGCCCCCACCCGGAGACCAGATGCCTCCCCCACCCAGCGACCAGCCCCCCTATATAAGTGGCCTGTAGTCTTTGTTCTGTAAGATTTTCTTTCGGCCATTAGTCAGCCATCTTCCCGCTTGCTAGCAAGCTGTCATAAAATCCCTTTCTCTCCTAGCACCTTGCCTCTTGACTATTGGCATGTCCTGTGGCCGGCAGACCCCCCCTTGGGTGGTAACACAAGCAGGGGAATCAGGGACTCAGCAGTTATTTACCTGCTGATATAGAACTATGCAATAATTTTACTGCTGAACAACTCCACTGATTTGTACCAGCTGAATGTCAGCCCTGGCTACAAACTCCTTTCTTCTTCATGCTGCCTAGACTGCAGACATAATGGCAGGAGCTCAAGCATCCATCCGGGACCGTGAGGTAGAAGCCTTGTTAAGGATGACAAAGCAACAAGGTAAGAACCTGGATCTCTGATGATTATATCTGCTCTATATTGTCCAGCTCCAGTCTTTGTGTACACACACCCATGTCTTGTTTAAGCTTTCATTATCTTGAGTTTTTGTTACAATCTAGATCTTCTCAACAATGCCCTACCTCATCTTTATCTTCTTCATGTTCCTTTCCTATTTTATCTCTTCTCTTCTGCCTCTGTGGAGGAAATGCCTTTTCTTCTCTTTGTGAGGCTAAACTTTAGCTGCTACACCCTCTTATGCTTCTGCTGATCAGCTCCTGTGACCTCTAGGACAGAGCTGATATTCTGCCCATTCTTTTCATTCGTTGCCCATGCCTTACCAATTGTTAAACATTTTTAATATCATCCCTCCAGCACTTTGCTCCGCACACTTTTATATCTTTAGTGTCCCCCCTTGCCGCTGGCTCTGCCCCCTCTGACTCTAAATATAGCCAAGGTTCTCTCATCCTAAAAGAAATCTTTTCTCGCCACTGACTTTCAGTTCAGCTACTGT